TAAGTCGGGCGAGAATGATAACCAAATTGTGTAAATTTAACACTAATAAAGTGCCAAAAGTAACCGAAATTAAGCAGTTACTCTAAATATTGCCATTTTTAAATTCCTTATATGTACGCCTATCAAACCAGACATTATTGTAGTACTTCTATCGTTTCATTATATATTTTTAAGACTATTTGGCTTCTTTAAGCTATTCTACTCATCTCAGCCAACACCACTAATCCGAACCGTGAAAATGCGATATAGCCCGGATAATCCTAAAGATGAACAGTGTGAATGCGGGATGCTGCAACCCAATCCGACCGCAAAGCGTCTCTTCCGCATAAGTTCTCGCATGGTAATCGAGCGCCTTCGACGCTTCTAATGGATAACAAACAGCACGGCATTGCTTCTCCTTCGGATAAAGTTTCCGGATGAGATTGCCAGTATTCATGAACTCATCGCTGCCGTCTTGCACATCGTCCGCTGCTTTCAACGTCATCACCACTGGACCGGAGGATGTAGAAGCCATGCACATCCACGAAATGTCAAACTGTAATTCAGTCGCTACGTCACCCAGAGACTGTATGCAGTCCTCTTTTAGCAATCCTAGCAATCTGTGCTATAGCCCCAAGCCTTCTGTTACTTCTAATCCCTATATGCATTATCAGATAGCAGCAGGAGCACATTTGGCATATTTTAGTAAGTAGATAACCACGGAAAACCTCCTTTCAGCAACAACTATTTTTAGACACTTTCATGCGAACTAATCAGACTACAAGAGACTGTAGCGTAACGCTTCGATCACAACAGCACAGAAGGAAGCCACGAGTTTTGTTTACACAGCGCCAAGTTCGTTTCCTACAGATAACGGTCATGCCTAAATAGTACAATTATCGTGCGAAAGCCGTCAGCTGATAGTCTTATATGTCTTGCACTTATGATTTGAATTTAGGTGAACGAATTAGAAGAGCGTTTCAAAAAACAACGCTACGTTACTGCAAGCGAGAGGGAAGAACTGGCGAACACATTAGGACTCAGCGCCACCCAGGTGAAGGGAATTTTTCATAAACAATCAATCGTGAAGGTGTATCGGGACCATTT